ATGTATAACTTTTTAAGTATGTTCTCTCACCAATCCACTACCATAAGCCAATCATATCGTGAAACTATCTTCAAACTACGTAACTTGAATATAAAAATCATCAAAAAGAGAAACGATATTTCCTTCCTAAGACAGTGCCGCTACAAAAAAAAAAAAAAAGAAAAAATAGTACCTGATGATGACAAAACCTTGTCGAAACGTTGTACATTTGCTGTTATATTAAAATTTTTCTTCATTACCCATTCAAGCCATCTCCAGCCATTATTAGTCTCAAAGTGGGTTCCTCATCATCGAATTTACTCTTAGATTATTATTCTTAGTTGCCTAGAAAGAATGGTGCAATTCTTGGGTCATTTGTGGGTTCTGGTTCAATGAAGGTAAAATACATTTAGAACATTTGCCAACATAGAAACAAGCATAATTTAACACTAAAATATAACCTAGTTACCATGGGAACTGCATTTAACCTTCAGTGACTCAATGTAATGGAATTTGAAAGTGTATAGCATCCAAATTTAAATTAAAAAAATATATATTGTCATCTAAATGAAAACATTGACATATTGTGTTAGATATGATCACTTATGTTCAATTATTAAAACTATGTAAAAGTTTTAAAATTAGTTTGGACCTTTGTTTAGCTTTTTTATAACTATGTTACAAGAGAAAAAAAATCTGATTAATATAAGGAAAGATGTTAAATTTACTTTACCAGTATGTAATAATTGTTCTTAATGAAATCTCATACTTTCTGACATTCATATTATATTGTAATTTTGTAGATGTATTGTCTGTACAAATATCACAAATGTGTGCATGAAATAGGATTAGATGAAAAAAAAAGGAGGGAACAAAAAACTTGTATCATGGGAAATAAGTATGTATTGCAATAATTTTCTTTGGGGAAGAGAGAAACTTTACTGTTGTTTATATAAGGTACATAAAATGTCTTGGAAAATAAATGCAAGAGGTTTTGTGAAAACAGTTTTCATTATCATGGAAAACTTACTAAATAGTCACTTACAATCTAGTAATGCTGCTTCTTACTATAAAGATGATCAGTTATGTATGTATGTGTGTTACCAGCCATCATCCAAAGTTGAGTGGCTAGATTGCCATAGTTTTTGTATGGTAATTGAAAACTGTCCGACAATTCACATGGGCTACTTTGTTTTATGATATATTCCTGAAAAGGGGATAATAAGATCTTTAAATGGGGAACATTTCCACTTTTTATTTATTATTATTATTACAGACTTTTGGCTTTGAATTTAAAGATACAAGTACTTAATGATTTAAATTACTCAGCTGTTATCTTCCACAAAGCAGTGTATGCAATTAGCATCTAATGAGGTTAATAGGGATTTGATAACAAAAGAATCAAGGAATGAGAACATCATCTAACTGTCGTTATATAATTTTTACTTTCTTAATGGATATCTTCTGCTAGTGTAAATATCACGAAACATTTATATGAGAGATAAAAAAAAAATATGAATGATGTCAAGGAAAACAGATCTTGCTGTTTGAAACACAAAGTAATGAGATATGGTGTTTGTTTGAAAAAATGTAGATACAATCAGCTTTTTAAACTCAAATTGTGTAGGTAATGAATATTTTTTTTTATTGATCATGAAAACAGCCACTTATTTTGAGGTGTGGCTAAAAACTTGTGAACTTCATCAACTTCGAATACCTATTTCTTATCTTGTTAGCTGTAAGTGTAACATGAGATATGTCCATCTTCATTAGTAGTGGATTTTTGGGGTCAGAGGGATCTCTTTTGTAATCATAGACCTTACTTTGTAGATGTGAGTATTACTCTGGATTTATTTGAGGGGGATAAATGAGCAGTATTTCTGAAAAAGTTTGTTGCATCCCGAAATTCACCCAATCACGACATAGCTCATTTTAAAGCTAGTTATTAAGAAAAATTATGTTGTGGAATTATCAGGTGGTCAGACATTTACGTCAAAGGATAACTAAAATGTTTTTTTTTCTTTTCAACTATCAAAACTATGATGTATTCAAAATGCTTGAAGAGAAATATGATCATTTGCTCTGACCATTGCTGGTAACCTGATAGAAAAATATATATACTACTACAGAAAGTGCTTTCATAAATATGCAAGCAAGTCCAACTTATTGCATACGTTAATGGAAAATTTACTTGAAATGAAGCAAAATGCATTATTCCTCCAAAATTTCCTTTAGTTTTGAAAGTGATTCTCCTTGTTCTAGCAGGACAAATAAAACATTAGGACCATATTTTGATTGGCGAACATGTATTTTCTTTTTAAATCTTTTGACACGGGGTCAGTCGATTTGACCGAGTCACGTGACCTTCTGTTCTCGTTTAAAGTTGACATCAATTTAATACTTAGAACTCTCTATATATTGGGTATATCTTCACAAAATTTGGCAGTCTTTCAGTTAATATTACAAGTCTTTCACATACAAAAAGTCATATTTCTTAGTGAAGTACTTTTAATAAAATAAAATAAAGATTTGTCCATGAATATATTGAGTATTTGTTTTGAATAGTTCGTGTGCAAAGAAATTTCCATGTTAAAATTAAAAATACTTTTCGCCATTTCAAAAATCTCAAACTTCTTTTGTGTAATTCCTAAAACCTCCTAAATGCATTTCAAACGTTTTTTTTTCACTAAATCCTTGTAGTTTACGTGTTATTTTCTCTACCCTAATCTCAAAACCGGATCAGTCAACTCGACCGACCTAGTAACCACCAAAAAAAAATAAAATAAACCTAAAGTACCCTTTTTTCTTTCAAGAATGACTTCAAATTGTACCCTGAAACTACATTCGTTTATCCTAAGTAGCTCTAAGTTCGTAACATTATACATCTATTTATAATTAAATTCTATTGTTTTATTGCCCTATGAACCGTGTCTAACTGCTGTCTGTGCCATTATAAGTTGTAAATCACATGGGAAACGTGCAGCTCATGTTATGATATCTATTACATTACCCACGAGCTGCTCACGTGCATGCTTCGTGAACAATTTTGATTATATTATTACTATTACTTATTTTACCTATTCTAGTCTTAAATAACTTAAAAAGACCCATACTTTTAATTTTAGTTACTTTTATAATAATAAATAAGGAATAAATATGAAAAGCAAGAAATAAAGTACTTATACAATCTTCTTTTTTTTTTTTGCCCTTGATTAAGTTAAGCTTGATTTTTTATATGAAAACCTTGACTTTCTATTGGTTATAAATAATTTATAATGAAACATAAGATAGAACTATCAACCAATTGTGAAAGAGAGGATGTGACAGGAGGGGTGCGATTTTCTCTTTGATAGCTCTGTAACAAAACAAAATAGAAGGCCATAACAATTATGGTCTGTTTGAGCAATAACGATTTTATAGAGACCATTTTACGTTTAATTTTGTACATTTTCGAGGAGTGGTGGATAATATAGGATGATGACATGCTAAGACAAAATTTGTCATGTGTGTTACACTAGGGGAAATTCAGGAGTTTTAAAAATATTTTTCTTTTTAGAATTAAAAACTTAAGTTGTATACTATTAAAATATGGATTATTAGCTAAGATTTTATGCTATTCTAATTGGTATAACATAAACAAAAAGTAGTTTAATAAAATTTTTAATGTAAGACACTAAAACCTTGTGTCATGTGCAATAAAGTGTACCCGTGCAGAAAGAGTTAACCCTTTCATAATGAGTGCTCCTTAAAATGATTTCCTGCTCATGTCAGTGTTACCTTAAATTTAATTAACCTCTTTACTATCACTGTGTGTGAATTAAATTAACATTATAATGTATGTTATTGTTTGAAGTTTTATGTTATCCAAGTTATAAGTTTTTTTATTTTAAAAGAAACTTTTAAAAAAACTACATAACTTCAGATGTATTGTCACATGACCAACAAGCTATGAAAATTCTCTACTTTGGCACTCTGTATCTTCAATAATACAATGGTAGTTGCATAGATGTATGTCTGGACTCTAAGATGCTTACATAGTCTTCTGAATCATACATTTCAAAGTTCTCTGAATGAATGCAGTTGAAACAAGTAATAAATGTTTTTTACCCCTGACAGGTACCATGCCCGCGTTCAGCAGATTTATTTGAGCTTTATAAACTACATTTGGAGGTTACATATGTATGTGTATAGTCATTAGTAAAAGCTCATTTTACACTATTACCTAACAATAGTTATTTTGAAATTGGCACACAGTTGTCATTATGAAGTACATGTAACTGATTGTAGTATTGATGGCTACTTGATCACGTATAGTATTTACAGTTGTTTCTTACCTAAATATGTTATAGTTAGAGATACAGTTTAAATTGTATTTAGGTCTTACTTTTATATTTTAGTTAATTATGTATTAGTTCAGTTTTAAAATGCATAACTGAAAGGCTTAAACATTTTTTAAATATACATCATATTTTGCTGAAGGGTTGTGCATGTCTGCCAGAGACACTGTAGTATGCCTCAAGGGCACCTTTGACTTGTGTCAAGATGAATAATAAGTGGTAAAGGACAAGAAAGGAAAATAAAACATTAATTATATGTGAAAAGAAAAAGACTTGAAATTACAAATTTAACAAAAGGAAAATCTTTAAACATATTCTACCAAAAATTAAAAGGTATGTTTTTTTTCCCTTTCTTAATTTGAATTATTTCTTTGTATGTTGAAGATAACAGCTAGTTAGTGATATGGTAAAAAAATATATATATATATATATATATATATAAACATTTACCTTAAAAACTTGGATTTTTAAGAAGGTTCTAGAGATTATGCAAATGAAGTATGAAAACTATAATAAGATGAAAAGTATTTTTATATTTAAAATAAAAATCACCTTGCACTCGATTTGTTAGTGCAGGTAACTACAATAAGTAAATAACATACTTTTAGTAAAAACACTTAATTATATTTATATCATTCTTTGTGTACAAGATACTTATGATCTTTAACAAAATCTTGGCAGTCTTTGAGAAGATACATTAAGAATTCTCAGAGTTATGTATTGTGTAATTGAAATTCGTGACTCGATTTCTGCAAATTACACAAACTTGACATGAAAGGGTTAAAAAAGACCCACAAACAGGATATAAAACTTCATAAATTGAAGCAGAAAGGCATAGTGATGATCAGATGTTATTATGAGTCAGAGCTGAAGACTTAATAGCCAGAATTGCAGTATACCACTAAGCTTGAAATAAAGTCAACTCCAACCACCATCATAGACCAAGATGAACTTTCAGATAATGATATAATTTTCAAACTTCTCATTAAGGGAATTCAAGATGACTTGAGGTTTGCTTCAAAGGGGTGTGTATATATAGACACACACACAGAGGATTACATTAAGGTGTATATCTCTTTTTAACTGTATAACCAATATTCAAATAGTATGAGTGGTGGTAATTTTAGATTTAAATGACTGATAAATTACAAAGCTAACTCTGAGTGATAATTAGGGGTCTGTTTATAAAAACAGATAATTGTGAACGTGGTGAGATGTATGTAAAGGAGTTCACAGAATGGGTAACTAAAGGATATCACAATTTGAATTCAACTTCATATATATATGCTTTGCACTTCTAAGTATAATGACACATTATAATAAAACTTACATTTATGATCTGTGGAAGTAGTCTGATACAAAATAACTATTCTTATTAGCCTGCTATAGCTGGATTTACTATAGAAATATAAAGGAAATCACATTAATTTCTACACCTGTCTTTGCTAATATTACAGAAGCGATAAGCATTTTGGTGATGGGTTTCATATTTGTATTGTGAGAATGGATGGTAAACAAAGTCGGCAGCTGAAATATTATCACAAAAAAAAAGGCAGCAGAAGAGAAAACCTTCTTACAATTTGTTTGCTTTTTGCCTTTTTATTCTAGGTTAAATATAATCTGGTAAAGGAGAACACATGTGGAAATCAGTAGTCATCTTCATCAAGGTGGAAAAAATATGACAGAATGTAGCCCAAGTGCTATATTTTTGGCACAAGGTTTTCAGTAGTTATATTTTTAAAAACTGTATAAATCATATTTATAAAAAATATTTTTTCAACATTTTTCCAGTTGAAAAATTGACACTTAAGAAAGCCTGACTCATATAATTGTTATTACATTTTACCACAGTATGCATGTAGATAAGAACCTGAGAATGCATATCATGGAAACCTGTTTGAAAAAGGTATAATTTCAAGTTGTTCCACTGATTTTGCACTTATGAGTGCAAAACTTCTTTCTCGTGACACATCTCTTCACTTTTAGGATTTCTGTTCCAGACAAAAGAATAATTAACTGTGGATACACTCAGCAAAAAAACTAAAGAACTAAAGCTTGAATTTAATTCAACCAGGTATTGCTATCTTGGAAATTATTTTTCCATAAATATTTGAAGAATAGAATGTCAAAAAAAAGTATAAACCAACATTAGAATATTTTAGTATGATCATGTGATGAAATATTTAAATTAATTTAAATGTTGTACATTATATTACAATATATTTTAAACAACTCTGTTCCACAAGCTCAACTTAAACACTTTAGATTCCATTGGTTATTTGAGAATGCTTTAGTAACCTTTTTTCATGAGCTGCAAATAGTTTTATCTGGCATTACAACCTATTCTTAATAAGTCTTCTACAAACACCACTAGAATAACTTGCTTGATACAAGTCATGTTCATTACATGAAAGTTAAAAGCTAAGATCAAAGAAGTATTTATTTTGATTTACATTTTAACAATGACCATTGATTATTATGTAACATCTACATTTTTGGTGCTCTTTATTGTCTGTCAGACACTATTCAAACAAGCTGGAGGAATCCTTCTTGACTCTAGTCCTGTAGTCAACATTTGGCCAGGTGCAATAGCTACTGTTGTCACAAACAAAGGGTCATTTCGAGCCAGTTCTGTAGTTGTATGTGCTGGTTCCTGGACAAATAAAGTTCTTCATCACTTGGAATTGGCGCTTCCACTAAAGGTGAGTCAATGAGTCAGTGCTTCTCTCAGTGATGTGCATAGGGAGTGGTTGGGTGGGCTCAAGTCCCTGCCCTTATGCCTCCAAAATGCCATTTTTCACAGTTGCATAGAATGTGAACAACTACAAAAAGATATGCCCAATTTCACACTTTCCTTGCTGGAAATTATTAGATAGAAAAATATTTTAGCTTTAAAATTAATAGAATACGTAGAGTTGCAAGTGTTAATATGCAAAAATTCACAATTTAGTTTTAGAATTGTTTATAAGAACAATTGAATAAAAGAGGATCTGCATTTTTTATTATTTTACCTTATATAAAACAGAAGTAAACCCATTGCTGTAGCTAGAAAATGGAATGGTCAAGCTATTGCCACAATCAAATAATGTGATGCACACTACCAGCATGCAAATCATGCCATTTTGAGGGGGGTCTGGGGCATGCCTCTCAGAAACTTTTTGAAAATTTAATGTCATTTTAACTACAAATACTGCATACACTCAACATAATGTATTGAATTAAAAGAAGCAAGTTGTACAGAAGTTGTAGCTATATATGCCATGAAAAAAGTAGTCAGGCCAAGGCCTAACTGGTCTTACCACTTTCTCCAGCCCTGAATACCCCCCCCCCCCATGAGTCCCTACCCTTTTAATGGTTTCTGCATGTTGCTGACTTATCTTGCTGTTTACTTAGAAGTTGTGTCTTCACTAATAGTGTTGCTTCTTGATGATAGAATTGACATTTTGCAATAAGATTAATGTGAGCTTTGGATTATGTAGTTCTGTTGCTAGGATGTTATAACTATGTGCTTTTATACCACTTTTTTAAAAAATCATCTTGTTACCGGACTGCCTAAAATCTTACGTAATAAAAAAATAAGAATGATATTTTAGGAAATCTTGCTCCCCCAACCAATGGCTCAGATTTAAATCTGAAGGATTGATAATGCTTAAAACGGAGTTTTGATATCCCTGGTGAGTACAGTACAGATAGCTACAGTAGAACCTTGACATTCCAGTTGTGTACAAATGCCCCCTATAGCAAGGTGCCCTTAATATAAAAAATGAGCCACACAAATCTGTATTTTGTATTGACCATACTAAATTTCTGAATTTTAAGGCCTCCCATTTTCTTTGGTGTATGCGGGACATCGGTGTTTGTGAGTTGCACACTGCCATGATATGGAACGTTGTCAACAGGAGGTCTTGGGGGTGGATTAGCTGTGACCTTTTTTCTTTATTATTGGTCACAGAGTTTCAAAGTACTTCTTTTCAGAGTTTGCTAAACATTTGACATTTATTTTCTGTGTTTATTGTATTTTCAACGAAAATAAAGCAACAAATCACCGCTTGTGTCATTAGACTGTTTACGTGACATTATAATATGATACTCTCAAGAGCAACAAAGAACACACGCAGAAATAAGCCAACTTGACCCCTGCACCGAGATTGTAATGTGGAATTTATCAGCTTATGTGTTCCATAGTGTTTACAACAAGAATTCCCTAGAGTAATAAGATTGCATTTTGAATCTGTGAAAATGTTTATTACAGTATATAGTTTGGAGCTGATCCAATAAACATTGCAAGTATTTAAGTATTGGTTATCCTTTTAGGATGTTTGGAATTTAGCGGTATACTGTACAGGCATACAAAGATAGCTGCCCGATTTATCGATTGTCCGTATAGAGAATGAGACTAAAGACACTGCCCTTAATCCAGAATATCAAGGTGCCCATTACTGCAAGATTTATTTTGGTTACAAATAATAAAAAAAAAAACAACTGGAGAGATTGGAAAGGTCTGCCCTTAATGGTGCAGTGCCCATTAATCAAGGTTCTACTGTAATTGTGTAGTTGTGAGCTTAACAACAAACAAGTTTAGTAAATCTTAAAAAGTAATAAATCTTATAACACAAGATGTTATAAAACCATTATATGGGGAAAAATACTTTTTAACACTGAAATCACAGTTCATTATTAAGACTTTTACAAACTGTTAACATATTGCCCCTCTCATTTACAATTCAATCATTCAAGTTTTAAGCAGGAATGGGAACCCTGAATGTAATTTTCGTGTTTTGCAATAAGATTAAAGGTAGCTAATTTGAGCAGGTATATATAAAACCACATATAATACTAATATAAGAGAAAAAAAAATTATATTTTAGTAATTTTTCAGTCTATCACATTTAGAATAAAAGTGACATCAAAACTATTAGAATACATCATACTGATAATTTAATACCATAAAATAATGAAATCAGACAAATTTTTATTGCAAAATAAATATCAAAATTGATGCCTCTCCCCAGTATACAATAAAAACCAAAACTAAAGTTCAAAATCTTCATGTCTTAAAAAACAAAAATATTAGATTATGCATTTAAACTACAGAGTCCATTATCAAGTAAAGGAAAAAAAAGGACATTTTATTGGTTTGGTTCTTTTGTTAAACTCTTAACAATAAGTCAAAATAAAGTTTCAATAGCAAACCAATTACTGAACTAGTTTAATTCTCTTGAGACCTTACCATATAGATTAACAAATTTCTATTTTATACATAGACTATTCCCATCACCACATTTAGATAGAATCTTCAAACCTGATTAATTTATTACTATCTCGCAATGTCAAATAGTATAATCTTTTATACTGGACTTGTTCTTAACAGATGTGTATATTCTTTTACATGTATTTTTAGCCATCTAGTGGCAGACTCTATAACTAGAAGTGATTATAGGATATTTAAATTCATAAACAACATTATTAAAGATGATATTATGGCTTTAAGTCTGAAAAAACAACAACTGTAGTCTACTTTCTGGTCTAAAAGTCACCCATAGATCTAATTGTTGATATATTCTAGGAAAAAGCTTCCATAGTTGTTAACATCCAATGTCAACAAGTGTAGGGTAGTATTAATAACTTTTTTTTCAGTACATTGTAAGTAAGTTATTTCACTACTATATCTTCCTCTCTCTCTCTCTATGTCGGTATATATGTGTGTGTGTGTAAAAAACAATTCAAGTTTTGTACCGAAATATATTAACATTAAATTGTGAATTGTTAGTACTATTATTTGAAACAATATCAGAAAATACAAAAATGGTTAATAAATTTCAAAATGAAGAAAATTTTCTTTGAGTTTTTTTTTCTTATGACACCAAGTAATATTGAGTTGTTTGAATACACATGACTATTTGTTTTTCTTCTAACTAGCCTCTAAGAATCAGTACTTGCTATTGGAGAGAAAAAGAGGCCTACAGAGGACAGTATTCAGCTCATAAAGGATTTCCTTGTTTTATTGATTACAACTACCACAGTTTAAACCATGTCTATGGATTGCCATCACTGGAATATCCAGGCCTGGCTAAGGTTTGTTTTATTGGTATAATAACACTTTGTCCATTTTATTAAATCTTTATATTTGGAGAAAAGTTTCATGTTTTGTGATATTACATCAAGGAGAAGATTGCTTAATGTCAATTAGTTGTGCATTATCTCAACTGTCTTTATACTTGGAATAAATAAAAATTATGTATTACTGAAAATTTTGCTGTAATATACAATTGATGGCCAAAAGGTTTAAAACACTATGAATAATAAAAATTAAATTTCTCTCAAACATTTTCACATTCAAATATTCGTAACGTTTATTTATAAATATCCTTGGCAAGTTTTTGGCTAGAATTGAATCCTGGATTTTAGTGTTGTAAGGTAGTAAACTTACTGTTGAAACATCGGGGGATGGTCTGAAAGGAGTATTTGGGATCTGTAATTACCAGTATCTTAGCTACTCGTACACTTCAACTACTTGAAACTTAAAGTTCAAAACAGAAATATATAAACTATATGTTATATATATATATATATATATGTAGATAGGATAATAATAGGTATTTTACAACTCTGCCTAGTAAATACAGTATTTAATATATATATATATATATATATATATATAGTTGTAATTATTAAAAAGAAACTTATGCATGCCTCTATGTATTACAGTTTAGTTATAATATTTTCTAGATTTGTCTCCATGACAGTGAAGAATGTGATGCTGATCAAAGGGACTGGAATTCCAAAAAATGGGATTTAGAGATTATTTCTAATTTCATAAAAGAGCATTGTCCTGGATTAGACTACAGTCCTGCAATAGTGGAAACCTGTATATATACTGTAAGATATATCTTTAATGAATGAATCATTACATTTTTCATACTTACAATAATCTCTGTTAAAATAATAAACCCAAAAAGTTAACAAAGTGTCACTGAATTAACTAAGAATTTCCAAGTGTGATAAGTGAGAAGAAGTTTTAAATATTGTTACTTCTCTGTTCGTTAATTGATTTTCCGTAAATTCGTTCCGACGAAACTTTAGCGACACAAGTCCTTTCGTAAATAAAACTGGTTTATTCTTTCCGAATACAACTTTATGATACACTCAACTTCAACAGTCACTCTGTAACAAACGCTATAATTCTCAACGAACTTCTCACGTGCTTAACAATATTCTCTCTGACTGCAGTTCAATTACTCATTACCTTGTTGTCCTGTCACGTTGTGAACATCTTATATATACACGACTAACACATATCTAGTAAATGCTAGGGCATTCTTGAAGGAACAGGATATTTCTAGAAAACGTGGCGTGATACTAGTCACGTGACCTCGCTTACTCAACGCTGCCCCCCTCCTTAGTATTGTTCGTCCTGAACAATAGCCACTTACAATAAAACAATAACTTAATTAAATGTACAGAATTACAAACACAAAATTACAATTCAGCAAAGTCTCTTAATTTTACGGGACGTATCTTCTACCGTACTGGTCTCCATCTCATTGGCTTCTGCTTCATGTGGGGTCCATCTGTTTCATCAGGAAATGTCCTATCATCGGTAACAGTCACATCAGTGGTAGTAACTTCATCAAGAGCTTCACCGTTTCCCTTCTCAAAACTGAATAGAGTTTCTTCTTCAATGGTGGC